ACGCAAGTGCTATAACAAGTCTCAGTTAGCTTAACGCAGTAAGCAGCGCTTTTTTATTATATAACAAAAAATGAAAACAGATCAAATAGAAAACAACAAGCAAGCAGTTAGTAAATGAATAGAGTGCAAGTCTAAAAGGTGCAAGTTTTTTTAAGAATAGAGTTAGAATAGAGAGTGCTAGAGTTAGAGGGTCAAATAAAGATGCAAGAGATGTGTTTTTAGCCGATTCTTGAAGATAGCTAAGGATTCAGCTGCTGGGATTGAGTTGGGCAGGTCATTCCACCAGGAGGGAACATTTCATTTAAAAGTCTGTGAAAGTGATTTTGTGCCTGAATTGGTGAAATTGTGATGAAACGATGGGTTTGCTGGAACCACAAGCAGTTCTGTCTTGGCAAGGTTGAGTTGAAGGTGATGGTCCGTCATCCAGCAAGAAATGTCTGTTAGACAAGCTGAGGGGCGAGCAGCTATCGTCGGATCATCAGAATGGAATGAGAGGTAGAGTTGAGTGTCATCAGCATAGCAGTGATATGAAAAGCCATGTTTCTGAAAGACAGAACCTAGTGATGCCATGTAGACAGAGAAGAGAAGTGGTCCAAGTACTGAGCCCTGAGGCACCCCAGTAGTTAGATGTTGTGACTTAGACACCTCACCTCTCCAAGATACCTTGAAGGACCTATCTGAGATGATTATTAATAATTCACAGTGCATTAACGAATGTCAGCAGATACAACTCTTGATTTTAAAACTGTAGTACTAAATGTTGAAATGAACAATAGCAAAGATTATTAAATACTGTAGAAGTACTCTTTATTATTAGTTCAAGTAAACCTATTTTAGTATGGAGATACTATTATAGTGCTTTATTGCTATTTTAAATTAGTTTTTATTTTTATATTTTCTGTTTTCATTTTAGTTTTAGTAATTTTGCTGTGTTTTGTGACTTTAGCTTTTTTAAATGTCTATGCAGGTTTCATTCATTTTTATTTCAGTTTTAGTTTTAGTTATTTTAGTGCATCTAGGTAAACTAAATGAAACTGAGAAAAGTTTACAACTAGATGAAATCTTTATTTTATCATTTATTTTATAAAATTGTTTTATGTTTTTAGTTTTAGTTAACTATAATAACCCTAACTGAGCGCGGCTGTGGATGTTCAGTCAGTAGGTCAGGATTTGTGCAGATGCAGGATTACATGATGCCTGAAAAGTGCTGAGGCTCAGTATTTAGCTGCACTCTTTGTACTCCAGTGACCTACTATGAGAATCATAAACCTGTCTGTCTCACACACTGTGATGCAATGCTTATGTCTGCGTAACCTTATTACATGCAGTACTTTGTTATGAAGTGAGATACATTTTAAAAGAGTCATTACTACATGTAAATATACAAATGATTCAGCACAAATGATTATCATCACAATTACAGTGAAAAGTTGAAAGATCCACACGTTTGTATACAACCTGACTCTCATTTTCATGCTTCAATGAAAGAACAACATTTGAATGGCTGTCCATAGAGTCACATGATCAATGTCACCAATTTGATTAGTGACCTAGAAATAGTGCAGAATCTGACATGTTTATTATTCATTGTAATCTTAATAGAAAATGCATGATTTAAATATATTAATTAAAAAATTTGTCAAAATCATAAAAACATTATATTTTCTCCCCTTTTATTATTAAATCTATAAATATAAATGATCCATTCTGCAATACTTCATTCTGGTCAATTGCAGTGTTCAGCAGTCCGATATTTCTGAATAATGATCACTTTACATGGCAACAATGCATAACTGATTATTAATCTGGGCTCCCTTATATATTTGGAAGGTTATCATAGTTAACTAAAACTAAAATGATAATAATAAAATAAATAATCATTTAGTTTAACTTGATGTACTAAAATTACTAAAACTGGAATAAAAAATTATAAAAACTACTGATATATATATATATATATTAAAAAATCACAAAAGAAACACTATTTGAAATGAAAGCTTTAACTGAAATAAAATATAATATAAAAAAAACATTTCTTATTTTTTATTTAGTTTAACGTGATGTACCAAGAATAACTAAAATTGAAAAAAAAAAAAATGAATAAAAACTATAGATATATACAAAAATAATGCAGGGCAAAAAATGTAAAAAAATCAACACAGAAAATTCATTCATATAAATACAGTATATTGTGCCCTTTTGTTATGGATTTTTTTTTTGTGTGTAATTCAAAATATTAATAAAAAAACTTTCATAGTATCTCAGTTATACTCAAATAACACTACATACTATTTCATCCCTATGTATAGTATTTATTATGATTTTGCATGAAATAAGTGGGATCATGGTCATTATCGCGGAGTAAACAAGACAAACCACGAGACCTGAGCAGCAGCACATCATCCATTACATAATCATTACAGTTCTTTTCAGTGTTTGCCACAAAAGTGTGCGTTCTCACTATAGCAGTGGATTTACATAACTCACAGAGTTATATTGTAGTGTGAGGAGGATTAGAGCGCTTCCTAGGAATATGGGCCACTCGGCTCGCTCGGCTGTGAGATGTTGACCCGGTTTGGGGTGTGAGGTGATGACCCTGTTTTGGAGTGTTACGGAACACTGACCCATTTCTGACCCAGCGCAGGTGAGAGGATTATAGTCTAGGCCGGCCAGGAACACCTGTCTTGTTCCCCACAGGCCTTAATCCAGGAGAGGCCTCCTCAGCAACAAATTCAGACAATTGGTTTTGGCATCGTTCAGTGAGTGTGACAGCGATGACGAGCACATGTGGCCCTCAGTGCTCACACTGGTGTTTCTCTAGCAGACGCTCGCATGCGGTGTGTGAGATCAGGAGCTGTGCCGCTGTGTTCTTAACTGCAGTGTCAAGAGAGAGAGAGAGAGAGAGAGAGAGAGAGAGAGAGAGGAAATCTGACTCACTAGCACTAACACTAGCAGGAACACACACTCAAACTTTCAAACTCCATCAACACAGACACTCACAGAAACTCTCCAGAAATAGCAGGGTCAAATTTCACCTAGAAATCAAGAAATTATATTATAAAACAAGACATTTTTATAAAATGAAATCATAATCAAACGTCGGCCATTTTTGTTTTGTTTCTGAAAGAAGTTTCTTGTTTGCATACAGACAATTTATTTGTATGTTAAATATTATAAAATAAAATCATATATAGTATATATATTTTTTTATTTTTATTTTTTATTTTTAAATACATGGATAAATATATGCTGTGCAAAAGTTTGGGATTGGAAATATATATTTTTTTAAATGTTTTTAAAGTATTTTTTGCTCACCAAGGCTGCATTTATTTGATCAAAAATACAGAATAATTGTGAAATATTATTGCATTTCAAAATAACTGTTTTCTATGTGAATATATAGTAAACTGTAATGTATTTCTGTGATGTGCAGCTGTATTTCCAGCATCATTACTCCAGTCTTCAGTGTCACATGATCTTCAGAAATCAGTATAATATGCTGCTCAAGAAATATTTCTGATTATTATCAATGTTGAAAATAGTTGTGCTGCTGAATATTTTTGTGGAAACGTGTGGAAAATATGAAAAAAAAAGAAATTACTAACTACATATGTAACTACATATCATGTATTTGTTGTACTGAATATTAATGTCAATTAAAAAACATGTTTCTGGAAAAGATGATTTTCATCACATTATTTATTTATGTAGCATTACATTAAGGATAATTTTGTGGGAAATGTATTGTCGTGATGCATGAATGCAATGCAAAATGCAAAAAAAATAAAAAATGTGTGTGTGTGTCTGTGTATGTGTGTACATACATATAATTTTGGGGTTAAGCATGACCCACGCATTTCATTGTGAGATTCACTCACCCACCGCAGCAACACAATGAATATTATTCTCTTCTAAAAATGACCCGTAAGCCGTAACTGCAGCGTGTAAATCAATGGCTGTGTCACTACATGGTGACGTCAGTGGAAACTTAACTGAATCCAAGAACTTTGACCTAAAACTCCACCATAAACATTCGGCAGCCAATTCCAGTCTGGCATCGCTGTGTTTGTGTGTTTGTGAGTGAGTGAGTGAGTCATCTGTACTCGTGCCAGTCCAGTTCAGGCCGTGTTTAACCTCAACACACCCGAGTACCATCAACAAAGGAGGATCAGAGGAAGTTTATGGGGAAAACTGAAATCCTCCACTACGCTGTTGGCCGAGCCACAATGGAGTGAAAGCTGATATTCCGCTGCTCGCTGCAATCCACCGAAGTACATTATGAGTGAAGTGAACCCGATAATCGGCTTGGCTGAGTGATGTGGGCGGATTGGCCTATAAAAGGACTTATGAGCTGGATTCATATAAACACTAGGCACATTAGGACCACGCCGAGATAAGCTGGTTACAAACCTTCTCAAACAAAGCACGTGAGAGAAAGAGAGACGGCCTAAGAATGACAACAACAGGATTTCTATAATATCGGCCACGTTTAAAGAAAAACCATGAAGCGGTTGGTTTTCAGGAAGCTCATCAACAAACAAACACTTCGTGATCGGTGGGAACGTGTGCAAATATATTTTCAGGCGACATAGAAGATATCAAAAACATACACATAAAAACATCTGAGATGTACAATAGCAGTTCACGACTGCATTTCCCCCGCAAATACAGTGCATTTTGTGTTACGTGACACAGGGGTTTCTGACAGACCAAAGACAGAAGAGAGATTTTACAGTATCAAATAGCAACGTGGTGAAATTCCGACATATGACAAAAATACATATATTTATATATAGTATGCATGGAATTGCCTTCATTGATATAGGTATATAAATATGAAATCTGAGTAAAAAAGCACTTCTAGTTTATGCAGTTTCGTAGATATTTATGACAGACATTCAAGCTCATCTGGCCTGCATTTAAACCGATGAAAAAGTACATTAATATATAATTTTGTGATAACACTTCATATATAATGCATTTTAAAAGTAAGATAAGTATAACATTTTTAATGCATTAATTAATGCACTTCGTAATGCATCCCGTTAAAATACATTATAATGCAGCTATTCACTGAACACACCTTTAAAAAGTATAATGCATGAAAAACAACCCTTCAAATATTAGAATGCATTTTAACTTTGGTTACAATTATTTATGTAAAGATATAATGCATTACAACATGCATTGCAAATACCTTTATAATGCATTATACATGAAGGCTTGCAGTGTTACAGTATTGTATTGAGCCTCGTGTGTAAAGCTTCACTATTAGACTTTTGGATATACACACAAGTATTGTCATAAAATCAACAATTTACAGCAACGTGGTGGAAACAGGGAATAATAATTAGTAAGTCTCTAAATGCAGTCCTCGCTCAAGCCGGGATGCAGTGGTTGGGTCTTCGGGACATAATGAAGCCCCTGAGACACACGCACCTGTACGAGCCCTCCGTGTTCACGCAGCGAGCGTTCACGCAGTCGAGCGTGTCTTCATCGTCACACTCGTCCACATCTGCAGGAGTCAAACACACACATCTTTAGTCGCTTCCTCTAGTGGTGTGACTGTTTGAGAATGGAGGATCAGTGAGGAACAATCTAGCAAAGGTTGGTTACCTATGCACGTCATGCTAGTGATGTCCAGCTGATAGCCGTCGTAACAGTCGCACGTGTAACCTTCCTCCACACGGATGCAGCGGCCATTCTCACAGCCGTGGATTATGCCACACTCTTCTGAACTCAGACTCCCGTAGGACTCGTATCTCCCTAAAACACACACACACAGGAATCACGGCTTCTTCTGTGTTCATGCACTACATACGACTGCAGAGTTTTTCACAAAAATACCCTTGGCTTGCTGGTCTTAAGATGCTTTTAGGTTGTTTAGGATGGTGCACTTAATTATACTGAATGTGCACTTGTAGTGTACTTCAAAGCTTAAAATTATATATATAACAGCATTACAAACTCATATCACTTGCAGAAGTACACTTTTATTACTGTTTCTTAACACACTCAAGTACACTTTTAAAAAGTACACTTTGTAATCGTGTCAAATTTAAAAAGTTGAACATGTTTTAAATCATTATGTTTTAATAATATTTTGCAGAAGTAGTTATTTTGATGTGTTGACTAATGTACTAAAGTACTTGATTGTCATTTTATTTGTAGTGCATTATTTGATTTGCATTAAAAGTTAATATATTAACATTAAAAGTTAATATTTTTCACTAGGGTAGACTTTAATTTCAGACTCACGCTCATAGACTCCTTCCCGTCTGTCAGGAAACATTGGGAAAGGGGGCGGGGCTCTCCATGACTCCTCCCCCTCACCCTCGCTGTATGGGGAGTTTTCCGGAAGCGGGGCCAAACTGAGCAGAGGCCTGTCTGGACGGGACGGCAGGGGTCGTGCATCGAACATTCGTTCACCACGAGGATCCGGGATACCGAAGGGAGGGCCAGGCGCAGTTTCATAATCATCCTCCTCCTCATAGTAACGACTTCCACTGGAAAGAAGTCGAGTACAGTTACACACAATCAGGTTATTACAGTTTTTTTTTCAGCTGCTTACACACACTTTCAAAACTTTGCCTTTTTTTTTCAAACTTTACACACAAAATCAAGAACTGCACACACAAAATGCAAAACGCCTCACATCTCTTGTTAAATGAAGCACTGCATTCAAAATATCACAAGCACATCTCAAAAGCAAACATTTGCAAACACCTTTCCCATAATATTAATTCCTGTTAGATTTGTGTGTGTTACATAGAGAATTGTGTGTTGTGTTTTGCAAAAAGTGTTTTATGAAATTGAAAACCGAGTCAAAAGCCGAGAATTAGTGTATGGTTTTGCAGATTTGGTGCGTGCCTCTGGTGTTTGAGTGTCGGGTTTCAGAAATTGTGGCAAGTAAAGATTTTGGGCCCTATTTTAATGATCTAAGCGCATGAGCTAAACCGCAAGGCGCAGGTGCACTTAGGGCGTGTCCGAATCCACTTTTGTTAGTTTAGCGACGGGAAAAACAGTCGGCGTGCCCGGCGCGTGGTCTAAAAGGGTTGTCCCTATTCTCTTAATGAGTAATGGGTGTTTTTTGGGCATAACGTGCAATAAACCAATCAGAGTCTCATCTCCCATTCCCTTTAAGAGCCAGTTGCACTCGTGCCATGGCGGATTCGCTAATTACATGCGCGAGCAAATAGGTAGCCTAATTCTGATACATGCAATGACTATCCACACTTCGTTTTCAGACCAGCACGCCCATGAGCTCACAAATGGGCACGAATGCATTTGAAACAATGCAAATTTAAACAACGTGTTGCTGGACGTGAAAATGATAGCTGCTTCGGGCTGAAACTAGCAAAAAACACTTGCATTACATACATATAATTTTGGGGTTAAGCATGACCCACGCATTTCATTGTGAGATTCACTCACCCACCGCAGCAACACAATGAATATTATTCTCTTCTAAAAATGACCCGTAAGCCGTAACTGCAGCGTGTAAATCAATGGCTGTGTCACTACATGGTGACGTCAGTGGAAACTTAACTGAATCCAAGAACTTTGACCTAAAACTCCACCATAAACATTCGGCAGCCAATTCCAGTCTGGCATCGCTGTGTTTGTGTGTTTGTGAGTGAGTGAGTGAGTCATCTGTACTCGTGCCAGTCCAGTTCAGGCCGTGTTTAACCTCAACACACCCGAGTACCATCAACAAAGGAGGATCAGAGGAAGTTTATGGGGAAAACTGAAATCCTCCACTACGCTGTTGGCCGAGCCACAATGGAGTGAAAGCTGATATTCCGCTGCTCGCTGCAATCCACCGAAGTACATTATGAGTGAAGTGAACCCGATAATCGGCTTGGCTGAGTGATGTGGGCGGATTGGCCTATAAAAGGACTTATGAGCTGGATTCATATAAACACTAGGCACATTAGGACCACGCCGAGATAAGCTGGTTACAAACCTTCTCAAACAAAGCACGTGAGAGAAAGAGAGACGGCCTAAGAATGACAACAACAGGATTTCTATAATATCGGCCACGTTTAAAGAAAAACCATGAAGCGGTTGGTTTTCAGGAAGCTCATCAACAAACAAACACTTCGTGATCGGTGGGAACGTGTGCAAATATATTTTCAGGCGACATAGAAGATATCAAAAACATACACATAAAAACATCTGAGATGTACAATAGCAGTTCACGACTGCATTTCCCCCGCAAATACAGTGCATTTTGTGTTACGTGACACAGGGGTTTCTGACAGACCAAAGACAGAAGAGAGATTTTACAGTATCAAATAGCAACGTGGTGAAATTCCGACATATGACAAAAATACATATATTTATATATAGTATGCATGGAATTGCCTTCATTGATATAGGTATATAAATATGAAATCTGAGTAAAAAAGCACTTCTAGTTTATGCAGTTTCGTAGATATTTATGACAGACATTCAAGCTCATCTGGCCTGCATTTAAACCGATGAAAAAGTACATTAATATATAATTTTGTGATAACACTTCATATATAATGCATTTTAAAAGTAAGATAAGTATAACATTTTTAATGCATTAATTAATGCACTTCGTAATGCATCCCGTTAAAATACATTATAATGCAGCTATTCACTGAACACACCTTTAAAAAGTATAATGCATGAAAAACAACCCTTCAAATATTAGAATGCATTTTAACTTTGGTTACAATTATTTATGTAAAGATATAATGCATTACAACATGCATTGCAAATACCTTTATAATGCATTATACATGAAGGCTTGCAGTGTTACAGTATTGTATTGAGCCTCGTGTGTAAAGCTTCACTATTAGACTTTTGGATATACACACAAGTATTGTCATAAAATCAACAATTTACAGCAACGTGGTGGAAACAGGGAATAATAATTAGTAAGTCTCTAAATGCAGTCCTCGCTCAAGCCGGGATGCAGTGGTTGGGTCTTCGGGACATAATGAAGCCCCTGAGACACACGCACCTGTACGAGCCCTCCGTGTTCACGCAGCGAGCGTTCACGCAGTCGAGCGTGTCTTCATCGTCACACTCGTCCACATCTGCAGGAGTCAAACACACACATCTTTAGTCGCTTCCTCTAGTGGTGTGACTGTTTGAGAATGGAGGATCAGTGAGGAACAATCTAGCAAAGGTTGGTTACCTATGCACGTCATGCTAGTGATGTCCAGCTGATAGCCGTCGTAACAGTCGCACGTGTAACCTTCCTCCACACGGATGCAGCGGCCATTCTCACAGCCGTGGATTATGCCACACTCTTCTGAACTCAGACTCCCGTAGGACTCGTATCTCCCTAAAACACACACACACAGGAATCACGGCTTCTTCTGTGTTCATGCACTACATACGACTGCAGAGTTTTTCACAAAAATACCCTTGGCTTGCTGGTCTTAAGATGCTTTTAGGTTGTTTAGGATGGTGCACTTAATTATACTGAATGTGCACTTGTAGTGTACTTCAAAGCTTAAAATTATATATATAACAGCATTACAAACTCATATCACTTGCAGAAGTACACTTTTATTACTGTTTCTTAACACACTCAAGTACACTTTTAAAAAGTACACTTTGTAATCGTGTCAAATTTAAAAAGTTGAACATGTTTTAAATCATTATGTTTTAATAATATTTTGCAGAAGTAGTTATTTTGATGTGTTGACTAATGTACTAAAGTACTTGATTGTCATTTTATTTGTAGTGCATTATTTGATTTGCATTAAAAGTTAATATATTAACATTAAAAGTTAATATTTTTCACTAGGGTAGACTTTAATTTCAGACTCACGCTCATAGACTCCTTCCCGTCTGTCAGGAAACATTGGGAAAGGGGGCGGGGCTCTCCATGACTCCTCCCCCTCACCCTCGCTGTATGGGGAGTTTTCCGGAAGCGGGGCCAAACTGAGCAGAGGCCTGTCTGGACGGGACGGCAGGGGTCGTGCATCGAACATTCGTTCGCCACGAGGATCCGGGATACCGAAGGGAGGGCCAGGCGCAGTTTCATAATCATCCTCCTCCTCATAGTAACGACTTCCACTGGAAAGAAGTCGAGTACAGTTACACACAATCAGGTTATTACAGTTTTTTTTTCAGCTGCTTACACACACTTTCAAAACTTTGCCTTTTTTTTTCAAACTTTACACACAAAATCAAGAACTGCACACACAAAATGCAAAACGCCTCACATCTCTTGTTAAATGAAGCACTGCATTCAAAATATCACAAGCACATCTCAAAAGCAAACATTTGCAAACACCTTTCCCATAATATTAATTCCTGTTAGATTTGTGTGTGTTACATAGAGAATTGTGTGTTGTGTTTTGCAAAAAGTGTTTTATGAAATTGAAAACCGAGTCAAAAGCCGAGAATTAGTGTATGGTTTTGCAGATTTGGTGCGTGCCTCTGGTGTTTGAGTGTCGGGTTTCAGAAATTGTGGCAAGTAAAGATTTTGGGCCCTATTTTAATGATCTAAGCGCATGAGCTAAACCGCAAGGCGCAGGTGCACTTAGGGCGTGTCCGAATCCACTTTTGCTAGTTTAGCGACGGGAAAAACAGTCGGCGTGCCCGGCGCGTGGTCTAAAAGTGTTGTCCCTATTCTCTTAATGAGTAATGGGTGTTTTTTGGGCATAACGTGCAATAAACCAATCAGAGTCTCATCTCCCATTCCCTTTAAGAGCCAGTTGCACTCGTGCCATGGCGGATTCGCTAATTACATGCGCGAGCAAATAGGTAGCCTAATTCTGATACATGCAATGACTGTCCACACTTCGTTTTCAGACCAGCACGCCCATGAGCTCACAAATGGGCACGAATGCATTTGAAACAATGCAAATTTAAACAACGTGTTGCTGGACGTGAAAATGATAGCTGCTTCGGGCTGAAACTAGCAAAAAACACTTGCATCACGCCGGGTGCTGCATTGCGCCCAGTGTATGATAGGGCCCTTTGTGTGTAAGCAGGTGAAAAGAATTGCAGCAGTGTATCGTCCGAGTGACCCACTCACCCCGGGGCCGGCTGCCTGTAGGGGGCGTCTGGGAGCCCGTATGAGCTGGGGGCTCTGCCTCTCAGCCCGGATCGCCGTCCACCCGCTCCCACAGGATTGTAGTCATCATAATCAGGGGATATGTAGTCGGGGCGTCCTGGCAGGGGCTCGGGGTACTCTGGGGGGCTGTACGGCGGGCGGTACCCTCCTCTTCCAGGCAGGGGCCCCGGGCCGAAGCGCTCGTAGTAACGAGGAGAGTAAGGAGGAGGACCGAACTCATTACACAGAGCCTCATAGGCCTCTAATCAGGATTCAGACAGATAGAAACTGAATGAGTGTGTGAGGGTTGGGCAAAATTTTACTTAATTTAATTGAAATGATGGGAAATTAAAATTCAAAGAAAAGAACAACTAAACAGACAAAAACAACAACAAAAAAATATTTATTTTCACCTCTGAAAAAGAAGTACACTTTAGCATACTTTTATTATGGAAATAATACATTTAGAATATACTTAAGTGTGAACTAAATGTATTGTTATGGATACTTAACTGCATGTTATTCACAATTAAATGATATATTACAGTTTAAATGCAATTAGTTTAACTTTAGAGTGTTTTTTGACCCACTTAAGTAGGACTTCAGGACATGTTTACTTGTAATTTCATAATTACTTCTATTGTCTTTGAAATGGTAAATCTTACTGCTGAATGTACTGACAAGCATTTCAAATATACTTTAATATTTCTATTGAAACTTATATTTAAATATATTTGCAAGTGCATATTTGGATATAAGTTGCAATTTAGTACAATTCAAATATATTAACTTTAAACATATTAGAAACTTAGAAGAACTAAGTGTTCTTCTTTAAAACACAACAAAATATTATTGAAACATAATGATTTCAAATGTATTCGAAAATAAAGCGATTACCTTGACATCATTATAAAGTGCACTTTTTAAAAGTCTTCTAAAGTGTGTTAAGAAACAGCCATGAAAGTGTATCTCTTTAAATCACTTAAGCGGTCTTTTAATTCAATAGTATTATATTATCTGCAAGTACAGTCTTTAATAGCATACTTTTGAGATTTGAAGTACACTGCAAGTGCACATACCCTTTGTTGTGTGTGTGTGAGTGTGTGTGTGTGTGTGTGTGTGTGTCTGTGTGTGTGTGAGAGAGTGTGTGTGTGTGTGTGTGTGTGTGTGCGCGTGAGAGTGTG